CTCTCACACACACACACACACACACACACACACACACACACACACACACACACACAAACCGCAGAGACACGTACATAATACTTGGGAAGCATATATAACCACACGTCCACAAACGATAACACAACCTCGTCCATCTAACGATACATATCTCAAAAATATACCATATAACTAGTATCAACACAGTTCTACCCCCTCATCTACCCTTACAATACCTCTTATTAAGAAGGAAAGGCATACATGTCCCACAAACTGCACTCATCAAATAGGTATAAATTTCCTACCCTTATCCCCCACCTACACATCCATTTATCAACCTCATACAGGTGTTGCCCAACAGACTGCTCACCCACCCCCCACCCACCACCCATTAATCAACCTTATGCAGACGCTGCCCCAGATGCTGCCGACCCACCTAACACCCATTAACCAACCTTATGGAAATGCCGATCCACAGACTTCCCAGCCACCACCCACTAATTAACCATACAAGGATGTTGCCCCACAAACTGCCCACCCACACTCCTCTACCTACCCATCCATTAACAAACATCATATTATCATCACCCCATAGGCTGCCCTCCCAGCATCCTCCGCCTAGAACACTCTAATGGCCAACATCTCAACTCAGGCTGACAGACATGGTTGCCACCCCACAGGCTGCCCACCCACCATCCTCCACTTAGAAGCACCCATCAGTACACTCACCCTCCCTTCCACAATCAAGCATAACACCAACCCGCCATAACACAGCTTCAACACTTCACGCAAACGCCAACTGGATTCACGCACTAATACATCTACGAATCTTTCCTCATAACACAGACAACCATAAAAACCAGAAACTACAACATGACAGACAAACAGACAAGTGATCACCACTGATTCACCAGTCAAAAACAGACTCGGAACCACCAATGAACTCAACTCCGCCTCGCCTAGACCGGAGCTCGGAGAACAAAACCCTGCGAAAAGACGAGTTCTCGTATGTGCACAATATTTTTTTACGTGCAACACTGCTCGCAGGCGACAACAATCTTTGGGAATACGCAGACCAGTATGTTCATAACTGTATCTGACCACAATCACAGCCAGACCTGGATGAAGCTGACCGTCGTCCTGTCCCGCGGGTGAAGATGGTAGTGTGAGGAGTGTGCCCTCACAGACAGCAGAAAATACGGACAACAACACACTTCAGCAACGTTACTTAC